CATTATCCTTGTACAATGTAAATCCCCTCTTCGAAGCATTGTAATAGCGTATGACCTCTATTTTCTGCATTTTACTGCTTTTCATATTAACTTCTAGTAATTAGGTTTGTATGATAATACTAATAATCAAACGCTAGCAAAATTAACAAAAAGACAAAAAATAACTGAAATACAACACATTTGCACACAAGCACCTCTAAGGTACGCCCACTTTGGTTGCCTTTAAAAAACAGTCATGAGGCAGGAATGCTTTAGCAAAGACCCGTAAAATCAAAATATCATAGTCCCTCGATGATCCTATAGTTGCCTTCTCGATAAATGATCTAGTGCCTAAAACAGAATTGCTAGAGCATCTCCACAATTGCCTTCGTGATTGTAACGTCCCTTCAATTGTCCCTCAACATCCAACGACAAGGCTACCTACTCACTAATAGTAGGATAGCACTGTCTAAAGGACAAGGAGGAAAAGAACACCCTTTTCGAGTACAAAAGTAGATAGCTGTTAGAAGTTTTCTCAAAAATACTTTTTGCACTTACACACAAATACTACTTTTCAAAAACAATTTCAAAATATTTGCTTTGTTAACACTCCTGAGGACTGATAGAAGAGTTAAAATCAAAGCAAGTCACCGCACTAAGGCATCTTTCAAAACATTTTCAAACACACAAAGCACAAATCATTTTCAAAATGAGCAAACCTCTAAGAACCCGTGGAAAACCACAGATGGAAATGGTGCTAACACCTTCCCTTTCTATAACCTACCCCCTTACTCAGAAAACTCTCGAAGAGGTTTTTTCTGTTCTTTTCACCCTTTCCTTAAATTGGATAAAAGAAAATACGGTGGCGACTCTTGCTTACTGCACATTTGCAAATAAAAAACGCAAAAATCAATAGTAAATAAACAGTCGGTTCTGCCACTGTAAAATAGTAGTTTCTTATGGAAATTAGTTACATTAATGCTAAATCACTTTTGTAACACACCAAAATAATTAGATTATTTATTTAATTATATGATTAAATTATGATGAGTTTTTATGACGTATTTGTGGTGTTTATATGATGTATTGATGATCATGATGCTTGATATGATGTTTTTGTGATGTATGATGGAGTGGTAGGAATTAAGAAGGTATAGAGTATTCTAGAATAATTTAGATAATTAGAATAATTAGTTGGAATTATTTTAATTAGTTAAATAGAATAATATTGGTGTTAGAGATGACAAGGGCATAATGGTCAATTAGAATAAGTTAAGTGAGGGAAAAGGTGGAAGACCATATTAGGGATCCAAGGGATAAGTTTAGTATAAGCAAGGTTTGGGAGTTGGAATGATCATTCTGTGCAATCATAAGATTTGGAGGAAACAGTGAAAAGAAGAGAGAGCTAGAGCAAGAGGATTTGTAATAGAACACCAAGAGGAATATATTTGCTTCTAAAATCTAAGTTAAGGGGTGTTTATCATTGTTATTATAATTGACCTAAGGTTTAGATAATTGTAGGTTTGTGTTAGGTTTTGGTTGATGATGATTATGTGGTATTTATAGATTAATTGGTGAAATTGTGGAATGTAATTGTAAAGAATTGATGTATATGATGTATGGTATTTTGGATTGTTGTTTTATGATGAAACCATGTGAAATACTGATGTTTGGAGACTTAAAATCTGGAAAAATCAGACTGGTGTAGTGCAGAGATCATAATAGGGAATTCTTGTTCGCGCACGGTCTCTAAGTGGTGAGAAGTGTTGTCGAGCGATGTTGTTGTCGCTCGGGAATCGACAGGCAAAATGCGAAGTGATGAAGGGTGGAGAAGAGGAATGTTACTGGAGTGCGTCACTCGCACCATCTCCGGGCGATGCTGACACGAGAGGCATGTCGCCATGCGAGCAAGGTGCTTCGCCATGTGATGGTGTTCAAAATGGAGTTAGTGTGCTATCGCTCCCACATTGCGAGTGGGCTACATGCGATGGATGGCAGTAGGATTTTTCAAAGAGTTGTAACTTGAGTTTTAAAACTTGGTTTGAGGTGTCATTCAAAGTATTGGATAGCTAACGCAATGAACCTTACTTAGGTGGAATAAAATGAGTAGTAGGAGGTATATTCCCAGTACTTAGACTATGATGAATCTAGGTGTCCCCGTGTTGGATTAGAATGAAGCGTGATGATATGATGATGCTCTGTGTATTATGATGATATGATGATGCTTTGTGTATTATAATGATATGATGATGCTTTGTGTATTATGATGATATGATGATGCTTTATTTATTATGATGATATGATGATGTTGTGATGAATTCATGAATGGTGATGCATTTTGACTAGCCGTTGTCGTATTTATTATGATGGTGCGCATCATGCATTCATGGTATAGTTTAGGACTTCGTCCGGTGATGTTATTAGGATCTCGGTCTAGTGATCATGATAGGACGATAGTCCAGTGAAGGCATAAATCCCATAGTATGGATTAAGTGCAATATTATGAAGTGCTCTGGTTCCAAGTGGGAATCGATTCTATTGGTGGGGATCTTTGGAGAAAATAATTACTGAATCATCAGTGAAGTTTTGGCACCACATGCATGAGTATATGATATTACATTATATTATAAGTGACATTGCATAATGATTTGATTAAATGATGCTTGATGATAAATGGTGTTATGGTGATATGTTGTTATCGATGATGTTGTGAAGATGTGGGTTTTTGACATGAGGTTTGCTGATGTGTGATGCCTTGTCTATGTGCATGTCTACTATATTTATTTCTTATGTCTTTTATAATGATTATGATTTACTCATCATTTCTGTTTGGAAATATTGTCTCTATCCGTGGGTAACTTGCAGGTGATAAGGATTAGTTATCGAAGCATTAGAGGATAGCTTCAAAGTGCGTTTATTTACTTTTTGTTGAATAGAGTGGATCTTGCTCTGATATGTAACAATGGGGTTATGATCGTTTAAATTAAGAACTTCACGTTATTTGTTTTATTCATGACGAGAAATTATGAAGTATTTTAATAAAGGTGTTTTGAACTATGAATTTTGCTGCAAGAAGTATGAATATGTCTATTGATTTCTATCCAAGAAGGATTCGTCTTTTGAAACTCGTGTTACAGAGCAAAATTATGTTTTGTATGACGTTTACATGAATATGTGACACCCTTTTGTGGTTTTAACTTGTTTTCTTTTCGTAAAAAATCATGCGAAATATATGTAGATTTAGAAGGGTATTACAACTTTTCATGCTCATGAATCCTAATATCAGGGTTAATAAGGAAGGCAATCTTTTACTTGAAGATGTTCTCAATGTAGAAGAATGATTGGTAGATTGTTATATCTAACCATTTCCAGACCAAACATTTCATATACAATGAATAAACTCAGTCAATATATGGCTAAACCTAGACAATCCCATTCGAATTGAATCCATCATATTCTGCAACACTAGAAAGGAACACTAGGTCAAGGAATTATTTTCTCTCCAAATTTGTCTATGCTTATTGTGATACAAATTGAGGAAGTTGTATAAGAATAAGGAAATCCAATACAAAATTTTGCATCTTCATTGGTGAATCTTTGATATCATAGAGGTCAAAGAAATAAATAAATGTGTCAAGATCATCTACTCAGGCAGAATATAGGACTCTAACTTTAGTTAATTCTCAGTTGTTATGGTTGACACAAGTTTTAAGAGCTTTTGTAAATGATGTTCTTTCATGCAAAGTTTTATATGATAGTACATCCATTATTCAAACGGCCAGCAATCTCATGAGTCGTGAAAGAGCTAAACACATTAACATAGATTGCCATTTTATTAGAGAATATGTGATTGCTGAATTCAGCAAACTAATTCACATACCATCTAAACATCAATTGACTAATCCACTCAATAAAAACCTTACTAAGAGATTTGTTTCATCACCTTATAATCAAGTTGAGAATTTATAATTAAAAACTTTATTAAGAGATTTGTTTCATCACCTTATAATCAAGTTGAGAATTTATAATATATACCGTCGAATTTGAGGAAATTATTAAATGCAGTAGATTAATTAATTAGTTTTCAATTGTGCTTAGTTGTTGAGATAACACTGAAAACTAATTAAGTTTGTAACTGGCTTGCATTTTTTCTTTTAGAACTTCATCACCTATATAGGTGGATGAAGCTTCTCTTTGTATAGATAGTTAACATTCAATAATAAAGTTCATTTTCACCTCTAAATTCGGTTTACATTAAATATAAAATAAGTTTATAACATATGTTATATATACCACAAGTTTATAAGATGACAGAAATGTAATAACTCTCGAAATATCTTGGTAATTGAAATTATATCTTAAGATATAGAATGTTCAATAATTTTAAAAGAATTTGAGATGTTTTTTGGGTCCATCTAAAATCTAGTTTTATATTTTTCTATTGCATTGTTCATGAATAACATATTCAATAGACTATTTATTTTTTAGTTTGTTGGTGTCAAAGATAAATCACATATTTTGATCAAATATGTCTTGATCTCTATCAATATCTTAAATTTTATTTTAATCTCTATTAAAAAAATTACATATTTTGATCAAAATATTTAATTACTTTTAAATTTTTAAATAATTTTTTTAAAAGTGTTTAAAATACTATTAAATATTAATTTATCAAGTTTTAGAATTTTTTAAAATGAGAAAAATTAAATATAAATTTTTAAATTTCAAAAAATATTAATAAAAGCTATATGAAAATCTCGCCATAGAAATCAAATTTTAAAATTCTTTTATTTCGAAAATTTTTTTATAACATTTTAAACATGTTTGCAAAATAATCATTCAAAAATACACACCGATTTAACAGCAAGGACTAAAACTACGTGCGTAATAATTTCATAAGAACTAAAACATGCCACTTTTTTTATAAGGACCAAAAACAAAATTTAATAACTTATTAAATTAAAAGATTTTGATAATTATGTAATAATTGTCCAGGGTCATTTTCTTTAATAGAACACACCCTAAGACTCCAAGTCTTCACCACTAGGACCGGGATCATGATACCACACTAAAAAAAAAAATTGATAATAATCAATTATTTATTATACCTGCTATTTATAAACACAAAGCAAAATGTAGCTAAATATATGCCCATATGCGAAGAACAGCATAGTCGTAAAATAAAGGCAGAAAAAAACATGTATAATATAAATCAGTAAAGTAGCAGATATGAGACACAATATAAGATCCATCAAAAGCATTCATTCCACTCTATATATTTGAATGTGACAAAGATCTCAGCATGCCTCAAAAATAAATAATCACAAGACTTAATTAAAGTGTGAGTTTACCAAACACCAACAATTGTTACTTTCCCTCCCCCTTCCAATATCTCAGTGCTACACTAATGCAGCCTATATATATATGGTCAAATTTTACCTTTCAAAGATTGTGTTCCAGCTATATCTTCCAATGTAAGATTTAGAGTATCAACTGACCCTCTTCTAACTTCTTCTCCCCGAGTAGCCAGGAAGTCCTCAATGCTTCCCGGTTCGCCAAACCATCCAAGATGATCCGCAATCAAGTGAAGATTATTACATCCACCGCATCTTGCTACTACTACACCTTTCTCATATGATTCCCGACAAACTGTCTTAATGGACCTCGTTTCACAGACCTTGCAGGTGAAAATCATAGCAAGATCGTGCCTTGAAGATGTTTTCAAATTGGAATTAGCCGAAAACTTTATGGCAGAGTTCTCGGTAATGCTAACAGATGTAGTGACATTATCGGAGTTCTCGGTAATGCTAACAGATGTAGTGACATTATCGGAGTTCACACTAGACTTCAAGGTGTCGGCTTCATTATTTTCTACATCTTCACAAGCGTGTTTGCTTGGATTTGTCTGTGTCGAGACCCCCCTTTTAAGAAGTCCGTATCTGTTTAATATTGTATTGATAGAAGAATGCCAAGAGGAAGCTGCCAAGAAACATAACAATGAAATATTAATAACAAAGACTTGTACATAGGAGTGTAGGAAGAGAGAGGTAGTACAAAATCCTCCATTTGGAATGCATAAGCTCAAGTTATTATAATTGTCACTGTATATGGATAAAGACGAAAATATCAGACTGTTTAGAACAGGTTCGACTTAAGTTAACAATACCTAACTGAAGTTATTCTGGAAAGACTGTTTACATAATATTTCAAGAGATGCAAGTAGTAATATCTAACTGAAGTTATTTAGAATAAGCCCGCATTGGTTCTGACCAGTGTTTTGAACCGGCCAGTTAATGAACAAGTTAGTTCAAGGTTTAGTATCGAATAACGCTGACCCATTTTTGTGTAGTGTCACATACTCACATAAAAATATAGCAAACAATTAAACGACTTTTTACAAAACTCATGCTTGCACTGTGTTCTGGGTCAACAAGAGGCCCAATAACAGAAAGGCCCAATCATCAATCCAAAGTCACAAGGTATTGGAGATAGAGTGAACACACTACTTCAAGACCCACATTCGATCCACACCACAGACGGTTATTAGCCGTTGGATATCATCCAACTGTTCTCTAACCGCTCGTCAGTAACTGACTTGGGCGTTGAAATGCTAACCTAATATATAAGGGATCTCACACAAGACCTATGTTCTAACCATAATTTACTCTGACATTACTTTTCACTCAGTAACTGACGTTGGAGTGTTAGTCCACCCTTTCTCCGCCGTACCGGAAACTTACTCCACAGCACCGGGATTTCATTATACATTTCTGGTTCCACAACGGAACACACTGAAATGTTGCGACTTTTCTATGGAACCGTTTTTATGGGTTCAAAGGACTTATATGATTATAAAGCACAAGTACCACAACCAGTTCACGCAATTACTAAAAATAACCTTTCTCTTTGACATAATATTCTTAATATACATCAATTTTAGCTTTTTAGGTTATGAAGAATAAAAGCACTTGTACTGTTGTTATCTATGTCTTTTAAGCATTGCCAACATGCTAGTTGTTTGATTAATGCTAACATGCTTGCTTTGAACAAAAATCCATGCCCTAATCCAAATTACTTCAATAATTTGCTTTAACAAAAAAAATTATACACAAGTTGAGTAAGAAGAAAAAAAAGAGCAAACGCAAGTTAATGACAAAGAAAACAATAACAATGAGAGTAGCAATTCAATAGTTATTATAAACGAGGAATCTCTAAAAAGCATCATCTTTGATAAACTCGGCAAATTCCAGTGACAATTATGACAAATTCAACAAAGAAGAGAATGACGAAAATAAATTAGCAAACAATAGGTAGTTGCGATGAATTTGATACCTTGAACGATGGGGTAGCGATCATAGTGGAGCGATTGTGTTGGAACGAATCGCCTCTGCAACCGCAAAATCCTCGCCAGCGCCGCCATACTATGCTGTGGTGAGCTCCACAACTTTTCTAAGAATTTGGGCTTTGAGTTCTTTCATGTTCTGCCGGTTCATGGGCTAAAGAATGGTTCTCTCCGATGTGCATTACTTCTCCCACCTAACAAGCACCTTATGGAAATACTAAAATACCCCTACAAATTTGGAAGTACATTTTCTAACGCAATTATTTACATCAAATTCATATGTAAATGAGTCTCGTCTTTCTTTATGTCCGACGTCAGTACACACTTGGATTTTCGTATTCAACTTATATGCATCACGTTCATTTTTAACTAAGATATTTTTATTTTGATATAATTTTGTTCGGAGATGCATCTACGTATCAAAATACGAAGATACACTTTTATATTCAATCTATACGTAATTATTAGATGTATAATTCTTGTTCAGTCGAAATAATAGTTTGGTATATGTTGAATAGTTTTTGTATAGGTTGTAAGTTGTATTCGACAAAGTCGAATACAACAGAAATAACAGTCTGTCGAAATTGTGTTTTGGGCTTTAGCATTTTGTTCAATTGGGCCTGAGCATTATTTGCCTATATAAAGGGCTGTTGAGTTTGTAATCATACACATTGACAGTGAGAAATAATTCATATAACAAACTCTCAATTTTTTCTCTTCTTCTTCTTCTCTTTAAAAATCATCTTTCTTGAATACCATTTGTTCCAACAAATTGGTATCAGAGCTCGGTTGCGATTCAAAGAGAATCTAATGGCAAACAGAACAACAACATCAACACAGTTTCCAACGAATCTATTAGTTTTCAAAGGTGAAAACTATCAGCGGTTGGTTGCGCAGATGAAGGTTATTTTCAGATTTCAATATGTTGTTGAAATCTTGAATGATGGAGTATCAGAATTGGAAGCAGATGCGACAGAAGCCCAAAACACTGCACACAAAGATCAAAGGAAGAAAGATGGTAAAGTGTTGTTCTTGATTCACCAATATGTGGATTTTGATATATTCGAGAAAATAAATAAAGAAAAAACAACAAAAGGAGCTTGGGAAAAGCTAAAAACCTTGTATGGGAGAGATGAAAAATTGAAGAAGGTGAAGTTGCAGACACTAAGGAAGCAATGCGAGACGCTTCAGATGAAAGAAGATGAATCAATCTCTGCATATTTCTCAAGAGTTGTGACGCTAACAAACTAGATGAAGGCATGTGGTGAGCGATTACGGGTCTGCAAAAGATAGAAAAGGTGTTGAGATCTTTAAATACATAATCCGAGAAGTCAAACAAGAATACTGATTCGATCAAGAAAGGTGTGGGCAACAAGTATTCTGGGAAGAAAGTTGACACAAAAGAGGTGCAATGTTATAATTGTCAAGGTTTTGGTCATTATGCTAAAGACTGTCGAAGAAAGAAGGCTATGAGGGTGAAAGATAGTGATGAAGCTCAATATGCACGAGCTGGAGATAGTGATTCAGATTATGTATTATTGATGGTGAACACTCAATCGAACAATGAGAAAAAAAACTTGTGGTACCTGGATTCAGGATGCAGCAACCATATGACTGGCAATAAAATCTGGTTTACCAAGTTAGATGAGTCAGTCGAAAAGGTGATAAAGTTTGCAGACGACAGGCACATCAAAATAGCTGGTAAAGGAGATATTTTGATTATCATGAAGGATGGTCGAAAACAGCTTTGGCTATCTGACACTTGGCTAGATTGGGAGGATGTATGGTAGTCATTTGCTTCATGCACGTACTGAATCTCCTGCAAGAAAATATGAAAATAACAAATGCTGGAGGCAGGGGTCGAACCCCTGACCTCCAGTCTTCCAATGCCTTAAAGCGTGCCTGGCTACCACTGGGTCATTTTGTATGTGTTGTTATGATATTGCAAAACAATAAACAAATAATAAAAATACATTTTATATCAAATCCGCGCGCAAAATTCTAGTGGCCAAATCAGGGGAAGACACGTCTTCATCTCCCTCCCTGCACCGTCGCTAAAGGTTTGGTAACCTATACCTACGGACAATGTCCGTCGCTACAGCCCTGTCAATTCTCAAAATCACATACACGTGATATAAATGACCACCAAGGCCATGGTTAGATTCGTCTCATTCTTCTGAGCACGATGGTACCTTTTATCAAGGCCAATTTTCCCTTCATACAAAAACCCTGATTCGAAGCTTTGAACCCTAACAATGGTGAAATTCGCTACAGGCCATATAAATGAAATTAAATGATGCAGAAAGCTTGCATATGTCTCATAGATCAAGAATATGTGATTAATTTAATCTAACAATGCCTAAATCATGCTATTCGAATTCAATAACAGGGCTATGTCGTGAGCGACTTATAGAGCTTTTTGGGGCTTGAAAAAGCTTGGTTTCAACGGCTTTGTCTTGCTGGGAACCTCAGGAAGGGATTGAGATGGATAGAAAGCCTTGAGGATGCCTCTAAGTGCAAATTCGGTCTACCACTTTTCTTGAATTTTTTCAGTTTTTTGTTCTTGCTCAGGTGCCTCTTTCTAACTTGTTTTTAGGTATGGCTTTGTTCTATATGTACCAAGGAATATATTAGGGTTCCAAAACTGATCCAAATCTTTCTCCTTCAATGATTTTTGATTTGATTTGATTCACTTTCAATATCATTCCAAAAATAACTTTTTTCAATCTTTTTGTCCAATCTAATGCCTTGCACGAGTTTGAATGTTTGCTAGCTGTAATTGTAAGCTGAAACAAGCACAAAATCTCTTACTTTCAATATTTTGGATTTTATTTGATTTGTTTTGATTTAAATTGAATTAATTCAAATAAAAATCAAAATAAATAATAAAAATAAGATATGGACAAGTGGCAAAGGCTAGAGCTCGTGGACTATGTTTCCAACTCAAAACAAGTGAAAAAGATTGGGCCCATTTGGCAAAATTTGAAGTTTTAGGGATAGTTGACTTTTGGCAATTTTGCAAAAAAGGTCAACTTCACCAATTCATAACTTCCTAAATTATGACTCTTTGGAGGTGTTCTTGAACTTTTTAGAAATATTGAGATGTCCTCTAGTCAACCCTTTTGGTCTCATCTGAATTTGATATTCCATTCTCATGTATGAAGGTTTGACAAAAAAGGTGTTTTTGTTGACTTTTCAAAATGACCTATAATGTCCAAATTCATAACTACTTGTGAGTGCATATTTTGAACTTGGAAGCTGAAGATGGATTGTAGGGAATTGCATCCTATTCAAAATGAGCTTTGGATGGGTCATTTCTCATAAAGTATGAGAAAGTTATGCTTGGTCAAAGTTGAGTTGACTTTTCCTGCAAAACCCTAATTTAGCAACTCTTGAGTCTTGATGAATTATGGGCAATCCTTGATGAATCATGATCAACCCTTGATAAAATGATGAAATAAACTTGAAAATGAGGATGTTGGCCAAAAATCTTGAAGTTTGACTGTATGTGGGCCACAATTGACTTTTGCCCTAGCACAATCGATTTTCAGGCCTTTGAGCAATTGACTGAGCAAACTTTCTCTGCAAGGCTTGAAACTTGACATGGATGATCTTGAGAACATATTAGGACAATGTTGAGAATTTGGTATCCCTTGGACTCAAGTATCTTGATGCAACATGAAACCCTAATTTGGGGTAGAATGTTTTAGGAGAGAGCTTGTCTGGCCAACCCTTGGACTACCTTGAGAAACTTGAAGATCATTCTTGAAATGTTTTGAGAAATATGGGAGGGCAAATTTTGGGGTACAACATCTGTCCCTGTTCAATCTTCTTAAACCTGAGGATGTAGATTGGCTTTCGTGCCTTTCGTGATCCGAAGGTGGAAGATGATTGAACACTAAAGTGCCCAGAAATTTGCACTCGCATGAAGTGGTAATTGTCTTGTGATGTCGGGAATGGGCTTACAAATGCCATTTGGAAATTGTTTACGAGGGGATGGGCTTAAAGATGCCATCTGAAAGAGTGTCAATCGCATAAGAGATTCCTTAGTGAGAGCTTGTATACTTGTCGTTGAGGAAGATTCCGCTGGGGAATGTTGATCTCTGTTGAGAGAAGTAGGATTTTAGGAGCTTCGTTCGTCCGTTATCTACTGAGGAATCCTCAATTTGAATTTTAGGAACTTCGATTATCCGTATTCTATCAAGAAAACATCTCTGTTGACATTTAGGAACTTCAGTCATCCGTTATTCAATTGAGGAATCATCTCTGTTGACATTTAGGAACTTCAGTCATCCGTTATTCAACCGAGGAAAACATCTCTGCTGACATTTAGGAACTTCAGTCATCTGTTATTCAACTGAGGAATCATCTCTATTGACATTTAGGAACTTCAGTCATCCGTCATTCAACTGAGGAATCATCTCTATTGACATTTAGGAGCTTCAGTCATTCGTTATTCAACCGAGGAAAACATCTCTGCTGACATTTAGGAACTTCAGTCATCCGTTATTCAACTGAGGAAAACATCTCTGCTGACATTTAGGAACTTCATTCATTCGTTGTTCAGCCGAGGAAAACATCTCTGCTGGCATTTAGGAACTTCAGTCATCCGTTATTCAACCGAGGAAAACATCTCTACTGACATTTAGGAACTTCAGTCATCCGTTATTCAACCGAGGAAAACATCTCTGCTGACATTTAGGAACTTCAGTCATCCGTTATTCAACTGAGGAAAACATCTCTGCTGACATTTAGGAGCTTCACTCATCCGTTATTCAACTGAGGAATCATCTCTATTGAAGAGGAAAGTTGAATTTTAGGAACTTTAGTAGTCTGTATTCAACTGGGGATTAAACTGTTATCAGTCGTACCCGAGCTTCACAACTTGAATTGTGTGAGAATTTAATCGTATCCTTCCTGAAAGGTAAATGTTAGCTGTATGTAATGTATGATATGTATCAGGCAATGATGTTTTCAAAATAAATGAGATTGTGTTGTATGATGCGTTTGCATGTCATGATGTATGGAAATGTGATGTTTTGAGCTGGGGAAAATACATCTCGGATTGCTGCTGGAGA